ATCTACTCCTTAAATTTAGAAAGTTAATATTTTCCTAATCTGAAAATGTATTTCTGATAAATACTCACCTTTCTGCTTCTGCATGTGAGACTTGCATGCCACTAGCCTTGAGCTAACTCCCACCTAAAATTCATGTGTCTAATGTGAACTGTGCTGGTGCATGATGAAGTCATCATGTGACAAAAGCTCTCCACCAATAGGAGGGCAACACAACCTTCACAAGCAGTAGCTTCCCTTAAGTACTTGCACTCGAAATAACTTCATTCTTAGAAGAGGAAAGAATAAAATGCACCAGAAGTGATAATATTGGGTGGAAATGTGTGGAAGTATCTAATGAAAGTATATTTTCAGATTAGGAAATTGTTAACTTCCCAGACAATTCTTCACCTCTGCACATAGAACAGCTAGAATCACATGGTGAATTTTGAATGGGCTGGTGAAAATTTACATCTAGATGAGCTCCCTTCAAAAAGCATCCAAAGGAAAGCCCATGGAATGTGACACCCAATGGCAGGGGCACACCTGTGGGACACTGCATCTTGTTTACATTTCACTTAGAATCTATAGGTAGGAGAAGCACACAAGAAGTTGGCAAGCTGATATATGTAGTGTGGTTTGGGCATGATCAAATTGTATGAGGTGTGCTCACTTTGACAGACTCAGACTGCAGGAAAGCACACCAGCTGACTGAGGGGTAACCTACACTACACTGACAGTGTCACTACCATCCTACTTCTCACCATATCGTGCTAAACCCAATCAGTGTGGAACTCCTCAAGGTCCACCACCCCAGTGGATAAGAACTGGTAAGTATCAAAGATCCCCCATGCTTCACTGTAAGAGGGGGGGGGGAATTTGCATTGGCGAGACCAAGATAAGTGCCCAGATCCCCATCTTATGCCTGATGAAAAAGTCTAAAGACAGTGCAATGGATGACCACAAAACCCTATTAAAAAAACAAAAAACAGCAAGCCAAAACAGAGAAGAATACACCAATTGGAGGAATTGATGGACCCATCCAGCAAGGCTAGAAGGTGAGAGGTCCAAGGGTAGAAACAGATGATGGCAGGACTTCAAAAGGGAAAAGTTCATGCCAAGTAACACAGAACAGCCTGAACTGGCCACAGGAGCCAATCAGGATCTGAAAAAGCATAGGAGTGAGAGATAGAATGAAAGGAGATAGGAGAGAAAGAACAATCATCCTCCTGAATGGCTGAAGTCTTGGGAAGAAAGGATTAGTCTGGGTGGAGGAGTAAATAAGTGCAATGGAAGAGTGTGTAAGAAGTATTAATGGTATATATATATCTGAACAATGCTGACCACAGTCAAGAAGAAAGAAGTAAGTCTTGAGAGATGCCAATGGCTTAAACAGGCCACATGTGAGACTGTGCAACACCACATTAAGGTTCCAGTTAGGCATGGTAGTCAATGATGAAAAAAGATTTGGAACATACTGGAGAGGACAAAGGAATAAAATGCTCTATGGTAGTGGGACAAATAAAGGTAGTGGATAAGGCTGCCAAATAACCAACAGCAGTGGAGACTGACAAAGCATGATGGGACAATAAAGTAAAAAACGCAGAAAGATGTGGTACAGTAGAATGTCTAGGAGAGGTGAATGGACCAATGATGAAAAATCCACCAAAGTGGAAGGATGACAGGTATGGGATAAGACAGAAGCTATGTAATTGGATAGTCTGGCCTTAAGGGTGATGACCAGAAAAATCTTACACATGAAGATCAATGGAAGATAATCCTGGATGAAAAAGTGATGTGTAATGTTGAATCAATAGAAGGAATGCTAGGAAGAGGATGTCCAGATGCCAACTGAAAAAACAGAGGAAACCTGGGCTGGACAAAGAGGCACCACCAAAGGACTAGACAAGGAGCATCATGGATCAAGGCAAGGACCCAAGGGAGGAGCCAAAATGGATAGGAATAAAAAAAAAAGGCGAGACCAGTCCTGGCTGAGGGCATCGACAGCCAGAACTGAAAGAAGAAAAACTGCAAATCAGAAAAGAGGAAGCTTGGAATTAAGAGTGACAAGGACATTTATGAGGGGTGTGTAATGCAAAACTTGGGGGGTGGAAAGACCACTCCATGAGCAGAACATAGTCCAGCTGAGAGAGGCAATTTGCCACAAGGTTCAAATCCCCTGGTACATGATAAACCATCAGACAAACCTGTAGAAATGGAACCAGAAGAGACGGTCCAATGCTCAAAAGCAAAGGGACCTGAAGTAGGTGCCCTTTGACAGTTGATATAAGATATGGTTGTGAAATTTTCAGAGTGGATTATGATTAACTAATCCACTAGAAGAGGAAGAAAATGAAAACATGCTCAACAAACAGTGAGAAGTTCAAGCATGTTGATATAGAGTGAACTCTCCTCTTATGACCAAATGCTAAAAGTCATGTTATTGTTCAGAGATGCACCCCAACCCATAAGAGACACACCTGTGAAGAGATGGGGATCTGGTCAGGGATGGTGGTGGTAAAGGAATGCCTATCATGATATTGGCACAGTTTAGTTGCCAAGACAGATCCTCAGGAGGTTTACAATTGAGAACAATGAATTCTGAAAATGACTCCACTGGTCTCACAAGGTCCACTGGAGGAAGCATGTGTGCATATCCAGAAGAATGGGAGGTTTCAAAAAAGCCAGAATCCACAAAAATAAAAGAACCTCCCATAAAGGATGAAAATAAGAAGCACAAGACTTGGTGACCATACATTCCATAGGCCACAGGTGAAGAGGGGAAGGTTGAGCCCAACTGAGATGAGAGTTGAAGAAAACATCCAGATGTATGAAGTATTGTATAGGCATGAGAAAGGACTTGAGAAGCTTGACAAGACATCTCAATTAATCAGTCTCCTGCAGAAGATGAGAGATGTGAGAGAAGGATACCTCTTGAAAGGAGTCCGAGAGAGGGGAAAAGAAATGAAGAGAGAGACCATGGTGAGATCCTTAAGAACCCATCCATCTGCAGAAAACTGAGACCAAAGTTTGGCAAAGTGAGAGAGATGGGCACTCACTGGGCTCAACTCAACAGGGTAGTCATAGATGAGATGATCAATGAACCAGACATTGAGAAGACGAGGAAGGTCTGGGTGCTAGAATGGAAAGAGTAGTCTGATCTAGTCAAGGAACAGGAGTCAAAGGGTGAAGTTGAGAAAGATGAAAAACCAGAAAAGATAGCAAGGATTGATGCCAGGCTGTTTCAGTTATACCACTAAAGACTTCCAGGTGAAGAAAGGAAGCCCAACGAAGATAAGATTACATGGATAAGATGTAGGGAAGTGGACATCAGAGAGGAGAGCATCCCAACCCAATAAGTCTCAACAGCAGAGGAACTAAATAAGGAGGGAAGAAAAACTGAAGAAGTGGTGTGGGTCAAGATAGTAAACAGATGGGAACAAACCTTTTCAGAAAATCCCTCTGGGGCACAAGACACAAGGTGTAGAGAGAAAAGATAATGCAGGAGGATGGCATGAAAATGGCATGTGAAACTGGGCACTCAAGAATAAATAGAAGACAAGGGGCTCACGCCACAAGCAGACAAAAGAGATTTCCAAGAATGGGAATCTAAAAAAGAAAAGGAAGAATGGCTCTAAGCCAGAACTAAGGAATTAAAAATGTGAGGAGGAGGAAGCATGTTGTCAATGGTGTGGAGTTGTTTAAGAAATGAATCAACATAAACTCTAATATCAGATGAAGGATGACAGACAAAGTAATCCTGAGAATTGGTTTCAGGGAGTAATGAATGTGAAGATTAAAAAAAAAACAGGCCAAAGAGAAAGAAAGGAACATACCTGAGAATTCACATCCAGAATGAAATTGGAAGGGTAAGGATTTTCCTTGACCAGTAAGACAGTACTTAAGTGGGGGAACAGTTGGTCAAATTTGTCATTCTGAAATGGAGGTGAAGGACTGTTGGCCAAAGGGACAGGAACAGAAGGTCCAGTATGCATGAAGGAACCCACAACACATTATATGATAGCTATAATGTTCTCAACAGTCAACAAACCTCCAGAAACCACAGTGAAAACAGGTCCAGTGTTAGTAACTTCGCCATCTTCACAAGATAATGTCACCGTCACTTGAGAATTCATTATAATATTCAAAGCTTTTGAAACAAAAGCCAGGGTATGATGAAATTAATTTCCTTTGTACAAACGCAAATCTCAGTAAATTGACATCTTTACTAGACAATTCTGAGAAAAAGATTGAAGTTACTCCAAGTTCAGGTGCTTATGGGAAGATATTTCACATAGAGGTTGTGTCACTCTGCTGTTGATGATGGGCTTTTGTTGCATGATGATGCCATTTAAGTCAGCATCTAGTGCTCTTGATTCCCTGTGCTAGATAGATCTCTTAGACATGGCTAGAGAAAAGTTGTGTAGCACGGTCACCAATACCAACTCTGCAGATAACAAGCCATTGTTGCAAAGTTGCATGAGCTCTTTAAGCAGTAGCAAATCATTACATTTTCCTTCCACAAACTAAATTTTAAGAAACCAATCTTTAATCGATATGCTAACATTGACCAATCACACAAAACGTTAAAATTACTGCTGTGTGTGTGTATGTGTATATAAATAGGGATGGATTTTCCATTTTACAATGTTGTCCCCCAGTTAATCTAGTAGATGCTGTTACTATGTATAGTATATTATAACTTTGTTCTTTATTGTGCATATACATGTATATAATGCAAATATAAGTAGCCATGTATGTCAGTCACCTGTAGATTTTCATCTTCAATGTCTTAAAACGACAAACTGCTGGTTCACATAAAATACATCAGATCTCTAAAACTGGCTTTATACAAAAAGGTCAATACTTAGTCTAGATGTAACGGCTGCATGATAGCATCAGTAATATTGTTTTCCATTGTTTTTACACATCACTGTTACAAGCTAGCTACTGAGCATTAATAAGTGTATGTATAAAAACTTTCATGTTTATCCTTTAAAGATGTAATAAGTGTATTAAGACACTGAAGTGAACTATTTTTTATTTTCATTTGGTATACATATACATATTCCAAGTTTTATAATGCTGTGACAATGTCATTTATCTTAACCAACTAGCACAAGGTGTTTTGTAATTAACTACTAAAAAAAGTGTTTTGATAACTATAACTTGTACACACAGTTCTCTGCTCGTGAATATTTCTACAAGTAAAAGGTTAAATCCCTGTATTGAAAAACTTACAATGTCAAATATTTACATAAAAAAAAAAGACTTCTAGAAAACATTTTGGTGAAACTTGTTAAAAGTTAAGGAAAAACATTTGATGACGTGACCAATGTTTCATTGAGAAAACAGTTAAAAACTTGTCTAACAAAATCAATTAGGAAACCTGGGGAAATATTAATAAACATAAATACTAAAGTATTTGAACATCTTTTTATTTCGCCTTGTTATTCAATAAATAGATTGAATAAAAATAATGTTTGTATCATACTTAGCTCTTTCTACTAACTGGAAATTATTTTTGTATAGTAAAAGATGCACAAAATACTATACCTTTTCTTTTGAATTTTTAAAATAGGCTTAATAGATGAATTCAACTTAGTTTGTAACATTATTGCAACAATACCAGTATATCATTAATAAAAGATATACAGTAATACCTTTTCTTAATCAACCAGGAAGAGGCCTGATGTACAAATGAGTTCAAATACATCTGGCTACACAAATAAAGATTTCTAAAATTTTTAAAACAGATAGTAAATAAAAACTCAGACAAAAGATTATACATAGTACTAATGAAATAATATACATATACTTACAGACTGGACAACTCATACATTCAAAACATACATTGCCAAAATACTTTTACTGTGCTAGATGTCAAATGTACTCTCACATAAACATTCATTTTATGTTTTTCAGAATTTGTAGAGCATACTGGAGGGACTTAGATGCTATAGCTATAAAGTTAAAAAAAAAGACTTTTACCTACGAGAAAATAATATAAATTTTTTTTTTAATTTCAGCCAATGTTTTGCCATTGTGGCTGTGGCTTTATTAGGTTCAAAAGTACAAGAACTACTAGCTCTGATGGTTTAAAATATAATAAATAATAACACTGTAAGCATGAAGGAACATTTTCCTTTCATAATTTTAACGTTTCCTGGGTTTTAGAAGATACAACATCTAGCTGTTAAAGTGCCTTTTGTTGAAAGGACAATAAGATCCATTTTGGACAACTATAACAGCTTAAACTGATTACTTAAACTGTTCAAATGGTAGGAACCTATAAAATAATCTTATCAATTCATTGAATAACAATTACAATTTCCAATTATTTGATTATTTAATCTAGTTATGGTTGAATTTATTGAAATCATTTTATTGTCCAAGGTAATCTTGTAATAGACCTAATAAAATAGTCTTGAATTAAAAGTATAAAACAAATAATACCACTTTAGTTTTAGAAACTTGTAAAGTAGTAGGGTCAAACCTGTGTATATATATATAGGAAATACCTATTATGTAAGAATACTGACATTGTTACACTCCACAACCTTCATGTACAGTAATTTGGCTAGTATGATCACAAATTCTCCTTTTTAATATGTGAATATTATTAACTATAAGGAAGGGCTTTATCATTAAACATTCAGAAGTAAAGATTTTTCCTCTACATTACAATCTATAATATTTTCATTATTTTTGTTCAAGCAGAGCAAACAACTTTGAATAATCTGTGAGTATATATACATGTTCATTAATTACAACAAAACAGTAGTAAGAATGTTTCAAACAGGCTAAATGAAACACTGAGAAAATGATGAACCATAATAATTACTACTTGTGAAAACTGGATGAAGTCCAAAACACTGTCCACAAGCATGCATGTGTGTATACATACATATATCTATTTCTTCAGATCCATGGATAACTATAAACACCCAATGACAGGGGTTCCATAGTTGCACACCCATGGGAGACTACATCTCATCTCAACCAGGGTATATTCTTTGCCCAAGATGAAAGAGAGGGAAAGACAAAAGAACCTAATAGGATGGGCAGAATGTGATTATGTTCAAATGAGCACCAGCACACAAGTAGTTGGTGAGCCAGTATGTGTAGTGTGGTTAAGGTCTCGATCAGACAGTACAGTATCTGCTTAGCTCAACTTTACTGGACAGACTCTGGCTGTAGAAGGAGGACACATTAACTGTGTGAGGGGTGATCTATACTGCACTGACAGTGTTACTACTGTCCTAATTCTCACTGTATTGTGCTAAACCCATCCAGTGAGGAGTACTGTTCATACTCTGCCACCCCAGAGATTAGGAACTGGTAAGTGGCAAAGGTCTCCTGTGCTCCACTTGAAGAAGAGGGGATGAGAATTCACATTGGAGGGACCTATATAAGTATCTGGATCCTCCATTGGACCACCAGCCAGAAAGGTCTTTTACTGGAGACAGTGCAATGGGCTATCGTAAAACCTATTTTTAAAAGTGGGCAAGCATAAGCCAGATGAGTGGGCAGTCACTTCCTTGGTGCCAGCTATTTGCATGATAGTCCATGGAATTGGTACAGTTTGGATCATACAATTGAGTAAATTTGTATATCATGAGGATACCTCAAAGTGGTCTTGCTGAAGAACTCATCTTGCAGTGGGCATTGGTGAAAAGATAAAAAGCTGATAATGAATTTTAGATAGCTGATGTGACCAGGAAAAAAGCTAGCCAAAAGAACACTGCCAGCAGAATTCTGATAAAACGAATTTTCCTGCAAATAAAAACTGTGTACTAATGTATTAAATAAGATATAAAACAGATGTATGAAAACAAATATTTATTGACAGAATCCTTAAACAGAGAAAATGTTATTACCTAATACCCACCATGTACTTCCTATGAAACAAAATCTAGTTAGAAAATTTTAGGCCTGAAATGTTCGATAGGTATTCACTGTTTAATGAAGAAGTTTACGTTGAGATCACGTGACTCTCTGAGGAAATTATAGATAAGTCTCAGTTACAGAAAAAAAAAGTACACTATAGTACACAAAGTATCCTATACAGCAGTTTCATTATATTTGTTTGGGTCAGTACACAACAACAAAGATTTTGGACTTATCAAAGCATTTAAACAGTAAAGGATAAGACATGTCTCAAACTAGGTTGTGAAAGTTTACACATAGAGGCTTAAAAAAAAAAACAGATTGAGAAGTGCAAGAATCACCAAATATCACAATAAGCACCATGTCTGAAACTGAAATAAGACAAAAAGAGAAAGTAAAACAGACAGATTACTTATACATAAAAGAAGTTCAAAGCTTTGGTTCTACTTCTGAATGACTTCTCTAATGGATATAACTTTTCTAAACAACTTTTCTCTAAAGGTTATTCTGGTGAAAGAATATTTTCTACAAATTATGTACACTTTGTTCATAAAAGTTATTATGTAATAACTTTTTCTTACAGCTTAACCATATAATAACCTAAGTAAAGAACGTGTAGTGTTATGTTTTCCAGACTCTATTGTTCTTGTGTTATATCTAAGTATGTGTAAATAACATAGGCAACTAAAATTTTATTTATGTAATCTTCTTTAAGGTAAGAGTATGTGAAAAGAATAGTCAGTAATGACAAAAGCTGAAATACCATTGAAGAACACTGAATATTTTCAGTTTGTAAGAAAGGTAAATAAATATATATCACAGATGTAAGATATCATATCTGAATGTGCTTACAACACTCCTTGCTGAATGATATTTGGCTAAAAAAGATTTGCCTTTTGCCATTGATATAGCATAGCTTTTCATGAATACTTCTGAAAGTACAAGCCTTATCATTACTGTAGTGAACATATACTGGTCTTTGTGCTTTTGGTGGTTGTAGCTGCTGTCTGGGTGGGTTGAGATAAATGTTGGTAATGAATAATTTCAGCTTGTACAACTGGCTGTACAGTTTCTTGTTCAGCATGTGACAGGTGGATTCCTAAGAGCTCAGCAGCTATCTTCCGGAAACACACATCTACCTATAGGCACAAATAATAATACACTTGTGTAAATATTAGGCTCATTAATGTTATTTCATAGCAAAATCAGCTTTATAGAGATAATTAGAAGCTACACTAACACCTAAGTATCACTTTAACTGCATGATTATTATACTATTAAAAATTTGATCCTGCTGCCATAATTGTCTTTAATAGTAGCACATAATGTTGATAAAATTAAGTATTATCATTCTCAAAGTGTGAATGAAGAACATTTATCTCAAAATGTACAATCTTGAAAATTAAATATTCTGATTTAATATAAAAGTTTATTCCTATAATTTTTTTTAATTAAAAAATCCACTAAGTTGTAGATTTATTGCAATTTATAAGTTATTATCCTACTATCATCAGTTCTCTTGGTAAAACTACACCTATCATCACCCCTAATGTCAGGTCTTGGACAGCATATGAAACAAATGTTAGCTACATACAAATGATTTAAATAATTAAAAATGTATTGCAGTGTTCTTACTGATAATATTAATTACATGATGAACTGGTTAATTAAACAGTATTTCCATCAACAAATCACCTCACAATATCATATGCATGGTACTACTCACATGTGCATCATACATAATAGATTTTGCATCATCTAGCTTTTTGATCTTTCATATTAGCTTCTAAAAATTGTAGCATTTTCCTGGTAATCATAATACACTCATTATATAGTTTAAGTAAACATCATGCCCACTCAGCATTACCACTGTATGTCACAGTAGTGACAGCAACAGCAAGAACAATCAGGGGTGTAAAGCACTGTCTTACACTGTTATGTGCCACATTCCTTTACAGGGCCTACAGTGACCACTCATTCACATAGAACTGCACATCCCTATGTACATCATTATTACATTTTCAAAGAATGACAAAGTAAGTACTTTAATACCATAATTAAGTGTCTGCAGTATATTTTCAATATGTATGACCACATCTACTATCTGATCCAAAAATATCGATTCCAACTGGATATCAGGAACCATGTATCTGAAATCTCACATGAACCTAAAACTACTATTTGTCCCTTTCCTAATTTTTTTCAATAACTTTAAAATTTATAACACCAGCAAGACTCAGATACTTTAAAACAGTCAAGATCAGTTTGATACCAGGAACCACAACATGAATGAAAGATGATTCAATACACAAACTCTTTCAAGTGTCTAACAGTTTGTTTTATGTACTCTAGTAAAGATATATTTCAATAGTGTATGTTAAAAAATATCTTAAAAATTACCTCTCTCTAGTTCTTGAATATTTACCAGAACATACTTCTTAAGATATAATATTCAAAGCATTTCACATTAGCCATTTCCATCAATTAACAGTTTTAATACTTCTGTGTAATTAAATCAGATTTTATTTTTATGACTGACAGATTTTCTTTGAATCTACTAATTTTCTTTTGCTCTATCAGTCCAATATTTCTGAAATCACTGGCACAGAATGATTGATCATTGTTTGTAAGGTATATTTACAATGCACATTTTGGAGTTTAATTTTATATCAAAATGTTATTTGACAAATGGAGAGACACCTGGAAGTTGATCCTATGTACTCTAGCAAAGAGGGCAAATGTATGTGTATATTAATTCTGAGCATTCCATTTTAATGTTTGAAGCATGATGTCTGGGTGAGTTGAGGTGAATGTTCATAGTGATTAATTTCCGAAATATTTCTATTGTGGAATTGAATTCATGCTTTTCTATTTTATTTATTACTAAAACAAGAATACCTAAATAACTTAGTCAATTTTTTTTCATAGTCAGTCTGTGATATTCTGTATGTGAACAAACTAACATACTTTACCAGTTTTTTGTGCTACATCTCACAACTTACTGAAGGAATAGTTGTATATTTAAGGAACTTATTAACCAGATAATTAATGAAGTCTTTTGGATAGCTATTCTGTTGTAGCACATATTTGATACTGTATAATTCCGTTTAAAACAAATCAATATTGTAAGTAAATTTGAATGATTCTTGATTAAAATGTTCAATATATTAACTTTGAAGACGATCATTATAAAATTATCAAAATGAGCATAAAGCCAACGAAAGTAAGTTTTTTGATAACATGCAATCATCATCTGTTTTTCAGAGTAACTATATGTTTGTTTATTATAGAACAAAGCCATATTGGGCTATCTGTTGTGTCTACCACATGGAATTAAACCTTGGATCTTAGCTGTCCCACCAGAGAATGAGTAATTATGAACCAAGATATAAAAACAATGCAAAGATTCATTTTTTGGTATTATCTTTAACCAATATCTTCATGTCAATATACAAAAGAAAAAGATAAGCTAAAGCAGGACTAATTTATAACTGAGGTAACCCCATCAATTTGATTATACATGTTTTCATTAAACAGGAAATGATAATTCTTAGTTAGAAATTATTTGTCTAATAAACACATGTTTGAGAATATCTTCTACTGTCTCAAAACCATATAAACACTTGTAGTTTAGTATTTTTGTCATGTAAGTAAAGTTTCAGTTAATCTTTACGAAATTCTGAGCAAAGCCTAAAGAGATATTCAGATAAATGTCATAAAAGCCATTCAGAAGAAAATGAAATTTCTCAGATTTAATCTAATGTAAACCTCTAAAGAATTTTCAATTTTAATTAATTCATGCAATGACACATTAATTAATAAATCTAAGTTATGAATACAGACTAGAATTATACACAATTTTGTTATTTAATCAGGTAAGTTTTGTTAACTAACTAACAATTTCAATAATAGTCCAAAAGAAGAAAAATCAAAAGCTCACACAGAAGTATTTAAATATTGTTTACATACTTCAGATTTTCCATTTTACTTCAGAAAGTTAACATTTTCCTAAGCCAAAACTGTATTTCCAATAATACTTACCTCCTCTCATACTATAGCTTCATCCCAGCGAAAGCTACTCTTCTCTGCCCATCTGAACATTAGTGTGAATCTTACCTCACTTGCTCCAGCCTTTATACCCCACTATATTGCCCATAGCAAGTTAAATGTTGTGATTCTCTTTGCCTATGTTAATGTGCTCCCTATCCCAGATCTGTATATAAGCTACCCATTATTACTTCCTATTCACTTGTTCGAGACTGTACATATTAGCAGACAAGAACACTGGCCATTGTGGGGAGGAAAGGCAGGAGAGTGTGAGAATAGGTAAGTATTACTGGAAATACATTTTTGGTATAGGAAAACGTAAACTACCGAAACACACTTAACTCTGCTCCCTCTTTAGCCAGAATCCCACATTGACAAGGTGGAGGGGCTGGTAAGAGCAAAGTCCACACAGAAAGCGTCTGCATTGAAAAGAGGTGTGCAAAAATAAGATATAGTAATAGCACACTAGTGGGGTCTGCACCACTTCTGGAACAGGTATGCTCTTCACCCAGATAAAGTGAAATCTAAACATGGGCAGTAAAGACAGACAGAAAGAAAGAAAGAATGAAAAGGAAACATGAATTTAAGGACAAGTATAAATAAATTGGCCCGCTCCTGCATTATCAGACATCCAGTCACAGTCAGTCATCAAGCTGATGTACAAATCCCCCACACTTGATGAAATATTGTACATAACTCACAGGATTCATCCAGGCCCCAACCAGGCAGATAAGGTCCCACATCTCATTCTTAGAATTATAGGGCTGTGAACCCAAAGCTAGATCCAAGGCATAGTGGCTAGGGCATGAGGACTGTAGTGTTGGTGTGATATCACTGGATCCCAACCTGAAAGTTATAGAAAGTTGCATGTTGAGCCACTAGAATTACGAAGAGAAGACAAGCAGCACACAAGTAGCCAATCCCTTACCCCAACCTGAAGAATCACAAAATACAACAAACTGAACTCTGAATTATGGGACTTTTCTCTTCTCACTCAACCTAAAGAAACAGAAATTATCCAGCCTGGGATTATGAAAACAAGTCCTAACTCTCCAATCTGAAAGGCAAGGTAACACCTCCTGCCTCTGGAATTACAAAGAGGATGTGGAACAAACTAAGTCCAATCAATGGCACAAGAATTGACACACTGCATGCGGAATCAGGAGGAGTCAAGGATCCTCTTCCATGATCATCAAAATGAAGATAATGACCAAGAAGAAAGGCCACATTCAACTCAATCAGATAGCTAAGTGTCATCTCTGAACCAGAATTACAAGGGGGTTCCCACATAGGCTGGTCCTGCTCCCACCATACATCTGGGAAAATCATCCAGGATTATTTATAGGAGGGCAGCCAGCTTTGCTCTCTTCTCCTTGAGTAAAATAAGAAGTTCAAGTATTCCTCAAGCATAATAGACCTCTGTCCACCACTCCAATGACTAGAAACTGGGAGTCGTAAGAACTTCCATGCTCCACTAGGAGAAATGGGGGATAACTCACACTGGGGAGTTCTGAGGAACAATGCTCTAGAGACAGTGCAATAGATGAACCCTGTTCCCTATTTTGAATAGTAAACTGATCCCAATTTATTCAATCCAGGGATCAGCAGAGACAAGCAAGTCCCCTTTTGATTTATTCATAATAATCCATGAGTGGCAGTCCAGTAGTGTATATAATTGTTTACCACTTGGAAAGCCACATGGTGGTCTTATGGAACATCCCCTCTTAACAGAGCTCACTGCTACCAGGAAAATGTTTATCAGTGCAGATTTGGAAAGAAGCATACACGATCAGAGAACATCCACCACTGAGTGAGATCAAAATGAAAATGATGAGAGGGTTTTTGAAAAAAAATAATAATAAACACAAAAGAAATGAAGTCACTCACCTCATTCACAATCTAGATGAAGCATGGAAAATAGCCACAGGGCAAGAGTCAAAATCCATCAGAGGAGGCAACTGCTAAGTAATTTAAATAATAAGATATTAATGTATTAGATGTCATACACATATCAGCCTGTACAAATTCCTCCAGAGGGTGATGCATCCGAGGCTCCATGATCATCGAAATATGGCAAACTTGGTGTGGTGAG